TGGGGATGATGGTGGTGATGATGGTGACGATGATGGTGACAATGTTGGTGATGATGATTGTGAAGATGTTGGTGATGATGGTGATGACGACGATGTTGGTGATGATGATGGTGGTGATGTTGGTGATGATGATGGTGGTGATGATGGTGGTGATGATGGTGACGATGATGGTGACAATGTTGGTGATGATGATTGTGAAGATGTTGGTGATGATGGTGATGACGACGATGTTGGTGATGATGATGGTGGTGATGATGAAGATAGAGCTAATGAATATAATGATGATAATGCTTATAATGCTTATAATGATGGTTGTGATGATAATATATGACAATTACCATAATGATCATAACAAGATTAGGATTTTAATAATTCTAAGTCTTGATCACAATGCTAATATCAAGATGATAAAAATGATAATGAAAAAGAATACTAGTTTAGGAGCTACTTAATATTCATCATTTGTGGCAAAGACAAGCCAAACCAGTCACTTCTTGGAGATAATGGCAAAATCATGTTTGAATGTCAAAATTTAATATTATTGCACTAAACTAAACTTTAAATATCTATACAGTATGGTATGTTTTATTTTCCCCATTTTCAATGTCAAAACAATATTTTTTAACGATTTGGTGATGGTCTCTGGCAGAGAAATGTCTGAAATCGTAAACTTTGAAGGCTGATTTCTCAAATACTTTTCTTTAAACAGTCGTGTGATTAAACTATTGTAACTGCAAAACGAAATATCGGATTTAAACAATTCTTTTACCACTTTCATCGTACTGTTTAACCAAGTATAATAACTAAAAATTTATTTTTTGCAAGCAACAACTGGTTTGGCCTGTCTTTGCCACATTTGATTACAAAACTATCCTACCCATGGAGCCACACTGTAGAGCGCATCATACCTAGCAACAAAAAATGTTTATGATAATGACTGAATTCAAATATTTCAAATAACACAAAAGACAACAGAATGATAATTACAAAAGACTAATAATAAACAATAATACTAATATATAATAATAATGTTAATATTGTATGTAAAAAATAAATAACATATATTAATCACGTTGAGAAAAATGACCATCATAATAAACAGTAAAATTGTAGCTATAAGTTTTATTCAATAAAGTACAAAAAACAAATAGTTAAGAACAACAAAAGCTGTATTGTCAGACTTGATTATCAAATAATTCATGAAAAGAGATTGAATAAATTTGAAAGCCTGACATTTGTGACAACTGCCTTAACTATAGGCATAAACTGTTACAATAATTATGCCTAGGCCTCAAAGTGTTACAAGATGTCACATTCACCATGAATAATTGCCCTGTAAATAGCCAGGCCTCTTGGGAAGCCCTAATCCAATTTTTTTTCATGGTTGATCGGTTATTCTAGGAGAAGCTTAAGTTTTATGATTGTATTTGTATTTGTAACCTTTCATTGGTGAAATAAAATGTCTGCAGACGAATGCTTGATTAATTGGTTGGTGCATTCCTTGACGACTTCATTACTATTTTCACCTCTGTGGAGATTAGTGAATTCAAAACACATCTGATTGATGAGATCAACGGTTAAGAAAAAATGAACTTTAAGCAAATTATATTTGAATGTCAAATAAATTGCTTTAAGTGACTTTTGTTAAGTCTTATATAAAACGATCATTTAATGCGGAAGAATTTGGAGCGGTAATTAAATTTTGGGCTTCCAAACATTAGGCAGCGACGGTGCCAGAATTTCTCTGACAAAGTAATATCCCTGATACTGGTACGGACACTTATAATGCGCCTCGTTCTTGTTCTGTGTGTTATAATCCCAATGATAGTAACAAACGTTTTTTTTTTTGCTGTGCTATTTCTAATAAATTATTATTATTATAATTATTATAGATTTGAATGTTAATTTTTATAATGATTTTTGGTGTTTTTAATTATTTCTCTTTATGAAGGTTTTTTATTATTGGCCTATGCTTTTTTGCTTTTTAAGTATTTGTATGTTTATTGTGAATTGTTTTTTGCTTGTTAATATAATGCAATTTAGTTCTTATTACTACACTGTTATATTTTGCAATTTTTTTAACCTTTGTATTATTCATATTTTAATGTTTGAATAAAATATACCATGAGAATTGAATTGAATTGAAAAGGACCACCACAATACAACAGTGATGATGACTACAATGACGTTTATGTTATTGATGAAGAAGATGATGTTTGTAATGATGATGATTATTACTTTTGCAAGGGAGCAATGTTGTCAGAATGATGTGGTTGGAACAGAGCTCTATCTGCAGAATGGTAGGCTTACACTGTCGTAAGTCAAGCATGTTTAATATAATGTTGTCTGGCAGTAAATATTATTCAGAATGTGTTCAAATCATGATTTATATGTATATTCCAGTCAAGCCCATCTTTTCTTTCAGGTTGTTCATAAGATTTTTTAGTCCCTGATGAAATTCTTCTAAATTTCCCAATGGCAGGGCAAAGCATCCATGACGCCGGTGCCTGGTAGTTTTTAATGCCAATGTATGATTTACAGCTGTAACATTGGGGAATTCCCCCAGGGTATCAATTAACTGGTGTGATAATGTAAAGTGCATACTTGCCTTTGCAATATGCAATAAGTGTAATAAGGGTATATAGTTCTATGAGGGCTGAAGTAGCTGTCTTAAGTGTGCAATGTACCAATAGATTTAGCAGTAAACTAACCATGACAGCGAGATGTTGCAGCTTTAACTCCTGCCAGAAGCATCTTTTTATAAAATAACGAACTTTTCATTGAAGGGTTACACTTGATATGATTTCTAACATCATTTGTTAGAGTACAATTTAACTATAAGGCAGATAGTAGTTTACTATTAGTTACAGTTTCTAACTTACCGTATCATATATATTTCATTATAAATAGTATGCACTAAATGAAGAATTATAATAAACAAACTGTTATTACTGGTTTATATTATAATCAATGAAGTAGGTCTATGTTTATATTTTCTGAGTCTGTTTTCATACTTTACACTGCATTATCAACACACGTAGGTGGGAATGGCAACATTATATACCTCATACTGTACAAACACTATAGTATTATCATTATTATCATATTCTTTAACAGTTAATTCTATCATGTTAGTAGACTTCCTATGATAGCTTAATATTTTAATTATTATTTAATTAACTAAAGAACATATACCACTCACATAAATTTCAATTTCAAAATTTAGTATGCTAATTAATTTTCATACTTACTCATTGATAATTGGTTTGTTTTTAAAAGATGGATGAAGCTTGTATATCTGGTCGATTGTTTCCATCTCTGTTTCTAAAATATACATTGAATGACCTTCTCCCTGTAAACAAACAAGTCATAAATATTCATAACCAATTAAGCATCTAAAAACTTTCTATACATAACTGCAGAGTGACCAAAGTACTAATTGAATGAATGAAGAATTTAGTAGAGTCCGGCAAGCTAGTCATAAAATTAAATTTAAATCAATTCCAAACTATATTAATCTGAATTTTATGATCAATGGTAATGAAACAGATGGAGTCCCGCAAATTGTTGTTGTGATTGAGGTGAGCTAGCATTTATTTCTGCTAATGGCTGGGATGCAATGCATCGCTATGATTAAATGTAGATGCACCTACTGACCATTTGGACAAACTGAATCCCATGATTTTCATGCACTGGACTAATTTTATCCATGCACGGGTCCCAAGTCTCACAGAACTAGCGGGAGACTCCCGGAATTCCGGACGGCCTATTGCACTGCCGGAAGCAAGCAAGAACCTCCCAGAAATTAACTCATCTCCGCAAATTCATAATGCATGTCTTCACC